TATTTTGAGGTCTTTGAAAAACTCACTCGTGCATGTTATATCCAAATTGCACTCGAAACCATGCTATTACGTATACTTACAAGTATATAAAAATGAAGAAAAAACTAATTAACCCACAGACCCAAAAAGAAATATTACCCAGAACATAATGTGTAGTTACAAATGGAATAACAATTAAAAACAAGATTCAAATAAGTCTTTTGAAACAATAAATCGAATGAGCAGACTTAGCCTCAGCAGAAAGACTATTCCACAGTACAGCTCCACTATACCTAAAGCTTCTTTTAAGAAATTCTTTGTTAGGTTTTGGAGTGAGAGATCTGTATCATAATTTCTGAGATGATAATCATTATCATTATTGCTTCGTGCAGAAAAGAATTCTCGAAGACAGGGGGCAGTACCATTATTAAGAATGTTGTATACCAGAACCACTTTATTTAATCTAAATCTGTTTTCAAGATTTTTCCAGTTAAGCCGTTCAAGGAGCTCAGAGGAGTTGGTATCATAACTTACTCCCGTCAACACCTTGCAGCTCTACTTTGGAATCTCTGTAGTTTTTCTTTTAGTACAATTCCGCAATTATCCCACAAAGGGGAGCAATAATCAAAGTATGGCAGAATTAACGCCTTATAGATGATATGCAGGGTTTCATTGGGGACGAATGGTTTTGTTCGTTTTAAAACTCCTATCCCTGCACCAACCTTTTTACAGATTGCATTAATGTGAACTTCCCAACTAAGGTGTTCATCCAACTCAACTCCTAAACATTTAAAAGATCTGTACCGTTTTAATGGTTTATTCTTAAAGGTCACTAATATTAGCTTAGTTTTAGTAGTATGGTGTTGCAGTTTGTTATCCGAGAGCCATCTACTAATATTTTTCAAATCAGAGTTTAATAGTTCCACCAGTTCATCATGATTATCAGACGAGGCAAATATCTGCGTATCATCAGCATATAAACCCGGAGTTGTAAATTTTAAATATTGCGGCAAATCATTTATAATAAAAACATCAAAGGACCGAGAATGGACCCCTGCAGCACACCACTTTCTATGGATTTCCAAGAGGATATATGGTCATTTACACAGCAAACTTGCTGACGATCAGTCAAGTAAGAGGTAAACCAATTCAATTCATTTTCTCGAATACCAAACTGGTCTTTCATTTTTGACATTAAAATTTGATGGTTAATTGAATCAAATGCTTTCTTGATACCAAGAGAAACAAGACCAGTTATTTTACCCTCATCCATATTTTTTAGCCATTCATCGCACATCTGGAGAAGTAAGGTTAGAGATGAATGTTTAGGTTGAAATCCAGATTGAAACTTTGAAATTAGTGAGTTTGCAGATAAATAACTATATTTTATGGGTGGCCTGATTTGCAGCGGGCAGGATTTTGGCGGGCTCCGGGGGAGGATTAAGGGCCTGCAGGAAAGCCCGCCTTTCATGACTACACACCCCAGTCATAACATAATTGTTTCTAAAAATATTCGCTTGCACATTAAACATGTCAATCAAACAATATTGCGAATTAAACTCAATACCGCTCAATACTATAAATCTATAATACAATTTAATACAATATTGCAGATTTTGTAAATATTGTTTTAACTTAAACAGCAATTTTGCAATTTTAGTAAAATTGTTCATGATTCATCACAAAAAAACCATCAGAAAGAAAACAATCTTTCGGAATTGTGCTCTCAGATTTAATATATGTGAGAAAGTTTGCTTTTGTTAATACAGTACTACACGAGAAGTTTCAACACCATTACCAGCCCAAAGATGTAGAAACATCAGGAAAGCGTAAACTGTTAATTCCTGACACGCTGACCGTGGCGCTAGTCCATTCAACCAAACTGAATCAAATCGCGTTTGTTCTCCGCGATGTTTTCCGGGTAGTATGTTGGTAGTATAAGTTGAGCTTAATACTTTTATATAGTACATCATCAGAATCAGTATTTACAATTTTACATCCATACACGTTAATTGTTTGCAATTATCCCGTGCTATTTCCTGACGACTGGCCAGTGAGATCATCTTTTGTATCGCTGCTGAATAAGAAAAAATAGCCACGATCGATGTTATAGATAGCAACAATATTGAAAATTATCAACAAATACTACGGTTTTCCACTGACTTGGTATTGACCAATCAGGTGATCGCATTCACCGTCCAGAATCTGAACGGCGTGTAGTCATGAAAGGCGGGCTTTCCTGCAGGCCCTTAATCCCCCCCCGGAGCCCGCCAAAATCCTGCCCTCTTCAAATCGGGCCCCCCATAAATTTGAGGGCCTGCGACGCAGGCTATTTCAAAGATTTTACTTACAACTGGGAGAATAGAAATTGGACGGTAATTCTCACATTTGCTTCTATCCTCAGATTTATAAATCGGTTGCACACATGCTAATTTCCAGTCATTGACAAATATGCCAGTATGTAGAGATTGGTTAAAGATTGTTGTCAGAGATGGTGCAATTATATCTGCAGATAATTTAAGAACTTTAGCTGGAATTTTGTCTACGCCAGTAGCTTTGGATGTTACTAGTTGTTTTAAGTTGTTTAGAACTTGATGAACACTTATATCAGAAAAACAAAAAGTTGTGTTACATTCTAAATTACCACGATTTGTCGCACCAGCAGAGGTATGATGATTTTCTTCCACCCCGAGTGCAAGTGAGGGACCAATATTAACAAAATAATCATTTAATTTGTTTGCAATCTGGTTTCTATCCATAAGAATTACATTACTATCCGTCCTAATTTCATTGATAATGGTTGATTTTGAATTTTTTCCAAGTAGGTTATTAATCAAGGACCAACTTTTTTTTACATTCTTATGCTGAAGACACTCAGATATTTTAGTATTGAAATAGTTAGCTTTAAGATTTTTAATTTCAGCATTAATATTATTTCTAGTGGTTTTAAATTTTTTCCAATGCATCTCAGAATTGATTTTTTTAAACATCATTTTATGAAAATCTCTTTGCCTCATTAGTTGCTTAATAGAGGCATTTAGCCATGGAATTCTTTTAGTTTTAATATACTTCCTCAGAATTGGTGTGTGTCTATCAAGTACTTCTATAAAGAAGGACTTCCAAACTTGCCAGCTATCATTCGGGTTATTAAATTGATTGACAATTACCAGGGGATCCTAGACAAATCGTGCAAAAATAACCTTTCAATTAAAGTTTTTAAAATTTCGAACTTCACTACATGTTCTCTGTCCTTTTAAAGGAACTAGTTTTTTAACAGCATAAATCAGTACATGCTACTTAGATGAAAATACCACCAATTGATTCAGCGAAATAATATTTCCTGATTCCTAATGATAGTTTTAGTCAAAGACAAACATTATAGCGATTTATGACCTTTGAAGGGTCAAAACATATCATATTTCAACAAATTACATATTTGTTCGAAAAATGTAAACAATGTATCACTTAAGCCATACCTTTCGCCAGACACAACTTTGGCCCCTTCGAACATGTCTTTTTTGTTGTAGTCTTGTTTGATTCACAATCAAAAACACTATTTACAGTGTTATTTTGAGGCTTGTAGCCTCACTTTTTCATCTCTTATTTCGTGAAGTCAGCGGGATATTTTTTGAGCGGAAATGCGATTTACGAAAACATCGCGTGTTTACATCCTAGCGCTCGGGAAACGTCGGAAATCGATTCTAAAGGTCAAATTACATCTGCAGCATGATTTGCACGTACATCGGGCTACAGGTACTTCTTATTCGCCAATTTTAGCGTGTGGCACGCGCGTGTGAGAAAAACCAAGAAAAACCTGATATTTTCAAAAAACTCAAAATAAACATTTCTACTGGCTGTATTCAAACGAAATTTTGGATATAAAAGCACTTGAATACAGCACATAATATTTCACTCATATTGATTTGTGGCGAACTCTGAAGAATTCACAAGTTATTTACGCTATTGTGGAAATGGAATTCCAAATGTTTGGCCAAGCGGTGAGTAAATATATGATTGTTTCGGTTTGTGTAATGCTTTGACGGCATTCGACCCCCCGTTGAAAAGGTTATTTTATTAGGATTTCAATGGTATTCTTTGTTTTAAAGGGGGGTGAATACGCGCTGAGATATTTACGTTATAAACAATTGAGTTGTAAAATCGTCAAAATGTCGCTTGTCGATAAAGAGTTAAACG